GACACTCTGTGAAATTTGGACGTATTGAATAAACATCCGACACTAACATGGGGAAGAATGTGTTTTCTTCCTAATTCCATATGTCAACTTACTACTTACTAGTTACCCATATAATATTATATATATATAGATAAAATATATAATTGTGATGTTAATTATCAGATGCTTTTTAAATTTACTTTTTAGGTTCTCATCATAATTAGAGGTATGATAACTCGTAAATGTGGTGAAAAGTTTGTAGTAGTGTAGTATTTTCAACATTAGGGTATACTTTGATTACTTTCCTCAAACGTAACATAAAAGCATTCGCGATTAATAAAATATCACTCTAAAAAGTTTACACTAGATCAATTTTATTTGCTTTTCTAAAATATTGTCAGGAAAATATACATATATATAAACCTATCATGAAAATATAAGTTTATGGTCGATGAACAATCTTTTACTAAAATCTTCAAGACGGATCAATTTGCTTGTATTTTGTTTTCAGACGTAGTTAAATAGATAAATTAAAAAGAAAAGCTTGGTAGTAGAATTTTTTTTTTTGAAAATATTTGCATTGAAGAAGCCAAACATTGCCGGTACCACTATTGGCACCCACATAAAACCGCCCTCGGCCTAAGATGAACAATTTAAATAACCAATCAAATCATATAATATTTTATACATATAAATATAAATATTAGTCTAATAAAATTAACCTAAAATACCCATCATTCATAATTGATTAATTTCTATAAAAATGGAGTGTTGTGGGGTGGAATTACAGTTGCTTATGAGTGAAGGCAATGCTACAACAAAATCTATGCTTTTAAAAGCAAGTTCCAAAAGCTGTATGCTGAATACATATAAGATAAATGAAAAAAAACATTCTCAATAGTTTCCTTATATTTAAATCCCAATTATATGACAAAGATAATGATTTATGAGTCAAAAACACTCAATGTCCAACCCCATATATTGGGTCTACATATATATAAGTGTAAAATCAAATATAGCAAGAAAAACAAAATATTTATGTATATGTCGATTTGAATATAATTTTAATTACATTTGACTTTGGAAATTTAGTTTAGTTATAACCTTTTTATTTTTAACCTTTGTGTTATTATAATGATGTTGAATTATTTATTTAATAGGTTTATTAACTTATTTCATTTCACATCAATAATAACTATTTTAAAAATGATGTTGAATTATTTATTTAATAGGTTTATTAACTTATTTCATTTCACATCAATAATAACTATTTTAAATTCTTATTAGAAATATCTATTTTAAATTCACCACACTAATAAACAAAATATTACAAACATTAAAAAATAATGTGTAATCTTATTACGTTTTGATAATGAATAACCTAATCCAAACATTTTTACTAAAACTTCTTTTTAACATATGATAAACCAATAAATATTAAAACCAATTTGTTATAAATACTAAATAGGCAATCCCAGTCTCCCTCAAACAAATGTATAACCTCAAGGCCTTCCCTGTAAATTATATAAAATTGACATTTATATTGGACGCACATACAACATATTATACCAAAAGACCTATCTTTTTTTTTTCTTCGTTTAAATGTTTTTAAACCATGTTTTTATCAAAAAAACTGAATATATAGATATTCACAATTTTTCGTCATCTTTCCATAAAGATCTATGTTGTCATGTTAATATATAAAACACAAACTTTTTTTTTGAAAAAAAAACACACTTCACTTTGTTGTTTTTTTTTCAATAATTAATTTTATTTTTATCCATAAAAACAAACTACACCAAGAATCTCAATTTTTTGTCCTCTATTAACAAAAATAAACATCAATTCATTTTTTTTTTCGATCAGTTCAGATTTACACTGTGAATTGAACTGTAAATATTTCAATTTTAACATTCACAATGTAAATCTGACTTACTATTTCAACTCCTTGAACACACAAATTAATTTAATGAAATTTATATATAAATAGAAATATATTTCAATATAATTTTATAATATTTTAATGTTTTGATTACCAGTAAATTAGTTTTGTAAAATCAACAAATTGATTTATACTTTAATTTTCAGACATAATGTGAATCTAACTTACTATTATTCATATTGTGAATCTGAATAGATTCGCAATGTGAATCTGAGCAGATTCACAATGCGAATATGAATTGAATTTTTTTTCCATCAATATGAATTTATGTTTAAAGAGTACCAAAAAATATAATTTTTAATATATTTATTATTTTTTTTTGATAAAAAATAGACCTTAACTTTTCAAAAACAAAAAATAAAGTGAAATTTAAAAAAAAAAAAATCATTTTTTGTATATTAATATTGATCTTCATGGGAAAAAGATGAAAAATTATGAGCAATAATATATTTGTTTTTTTTTCCATAAAAAACACGTCCTAAAAAACTTAAACGGAAAAAAATAAATAAAAATAAAACAACTTTTTTTATAATCTGGTGCATGTGCATCTATTCTAAAAGTTTACAATCCTTTATTTTCCCGTTGATCGTTTTAAATTCCGACATTATGAATTGGTATCTTAACTATTAATGGTTCTCTATTGAACTTTTATATATATATATATATATATATATATATATATATATATATATATATACATATATATATATATATACATACATATATATATATATATACATACATATATATATATATATATATATACATACATATATATATATATAATGGTTATTTGGAAAACAAAAAAACCCTAAAAATCATAAAAATACATAAAAAAATACTTAGAGATTACAAAACTTTTTTTTGAAAATTTTATTGAAAAAATCGCAGCTTTTTATACAAAATCGGTGAAAAAAATTTGGATTTTTTTTTTACAAAAAAAAAAAAATTGATTTTTTAGCGAGTTTTAAAAAAAACCTGCGCTTTTTTATAAAAAAATTCTTCTTATTATTATTATTATTATTTTTTTGTGATTTCTAAGTATTTTTTTTTTATGTATTTTTAGGTTTTTTTTTCCATAGAACCTAAACCATATATATATATATATATATATATATATATATATATATATATATATATATATATATATATATATATAGAGAGAGAGAGAGAGAGAGAGAGAGAGAGAGAGAATATTGGAAATGGAAAACATGAGAAGTGAATATTAAGAGACTGATGGACATATGATCAACTATTGATGGTTGCAAATGCATAATGTCACATGCTAACATGTGCTTAGTTTTTAAATCTTAAAAAAGAGAGCGAGTGGTGCGTCACTTTGTGGCATCAAAAGGCCATTCACATGTGAGAAAGCCATCTTTCACCACTTTCCATCATCCTGTTATTAGATCCTATTATTAGAGAGAGAACGATGTAATTAGTTTAACACACACACACATATATATATATATATATATATATATATATATATATATATATATATATATATATATATATATATATATATATATATATATATATATATATATATATATATATATATATAAAGAGAGAGAGAGATTAATATAAAAAACAATTATTGTATGGATTTAAGAAAAAATTATTAGCAAGTGATCAAGATTAAATTTGATGGCTAACAATTAGATTTTTAAAATGCAATGTCAATGTCTTAATAGGAATAAAACTAAATCCACGTCTTAATAGTAGTTTAGATTATCAAAGTACAACATATTAATCAAAATAGAATTGAAAGTTCAATGTCTTACTAGTAAAGATTTGAAAAGAAAATTCTTTTTGAAATCGGAATCAAACAAGTTTACATTTTTAAAGTCTTAAAAGTATAATGCTATAAGCCTATATCTGGCTTGGTTAGATGTTATAAGTTGTTATAAAATTGGGGTATGGAAAGACTTGGAAATCCTGAGAATCGTGTTAAACACTTTCAGATTAAAGTGTTTGGGTGGTACTTCCAACCTTTAATCGGATAAGACTCAGAAGAGTTTCTAGAATAGAGAATATGAAGTTATGATTTCGTGATTGTTTTTGTACCAGGAAAATAATGACCAAAGAATAATTATGTATATTATTTGTCTGAAAACTATCAAGGTAGTTTTCTTTGTCCAAAAACTACTCCAACTGTCAAAACGATTTATAACAGTCACAAACTATCACTAAAACCGGGTTCACAAACTATCACTGCTGCCCTTTGGACCCCGCTCCCAGGGGCGCTGCCCCCAGACCCCCGTTCGTTTAGGGGTTTCGCCTCTAAATGACAGTCTACTTTGAATCTTGAATAAACTCAAACAAATGTGCACTCCGCACATTCCTTACTTGTTTAATATTCATCAAGATTTATTTTTGGTCAACAAGTCAATCCATTACACTTAAATACACATTGATGATGCAAAATCACCAACATAAGTTAAACGTCCCAGAAATAATTTAAAGAGTAAATTACTGAAATCGTCCCTATGGTTTGATCAAAATTGCACGTTTGGTCCCTAACTTTTTTTTGCACTTGGATCGTGCTTATGGTTTGATTTTGTTGTGTTTTTCGTCCCTATGATTTGGTCAAAATTGCACGTTTGGTCCCTAACTTTATGTATGTAAGGGACAAAAAACGCAACAAAATCAAACCATAGGGACGATCCGAGTGCAAAAAAAAAGTTAGGGGCCAAACGTTTAATTTTGACCAAACTATAGGGACGATTTCAGTAATTTACACTAATTTAAAAGTATAATTCTATAAATAGTAACAAAAAATAAAAAATATATATACTAAAAATATAATAGACAAAATTGCAAAAATGTCTCTGTGGTATGCATTTTTTTGGGGTTTTAATCCAAACCACGACTTTTTTGGATTGGTGGTCTTTTTGAGGTAGTTTCTTTGCGTTTTTGGTCCTTCGGTAAACTGAAATGACTGTAATACCCTTCTGATTTTTTTTAATGTTTTTTTCTATTTAATTTAAATAGAAAAAAAAATAAATAATTAAAGTGGACCCATCTCTCTCTCTCTCTCAAAAAAAAAAAAAAAAAAAAAAAAAAAAAAAAAAAAACACACACAAAGACACAATTAAACATCTCTTTCTCTACCCGTATTCATCATCATCATCATTATCGTTTACGCACTATGAATCAAATGGCGAGTTTATCCTTTCTCCATCTTCTATTGCAACCTGAAAATCGATGATTCACCCATGTGTCATTCACGCTTCATCAATCTCAGTGAACAAATCAAGGTAAAATAAAACCCTAAACCCTTAAATCCGATCTAAGAATTAATGATTCTAATCAAATTTACAATTGATGCTTAACTAATTATGGGGCATTGTTTATCGAAAGTTAGGTGGTTCCTAATGGAAATTATAAGAGTGTGATACATAGAGTTATCACTTAAATAGATAGATCACGAATGTCGATTGCATCTGTTTGTGAAAATCATACCCAAAGTTTTTGTTGTGGCAATTTGTTAAAATCTCTGACAATTTGGATGGGGTTTTATGGCTGGCGCTTTTCAGGTAAGAGAGCAGAGATAGTGACTGGTACTCTCTACTCCAATATTGTTCCCCTTCATAATAGAGATCGAGCTACAGACTATCTCAACCCACATACGAAGAAGATGATGATGATGATGATGTTGTTGTTCCAAATCTAAAACGTGGGTTGGCAAGCTCAAACAAGAAGAACAACCGAAGAAAGAGGATGATAGATCTCGTGGTTGTTCGAGATGGAGAAGGATGATTACTGCTTTTTCGTCTTCGCTTTTCAGATCGACCATAGACGTCATTGTCGTCAGTGGTTTTCAGATCTGGAGGTCGTAGGCTTTATTTCCTGCATTTTCTTATTCTCCTTACAAACATAATGTATCTAATTTCTCTCAAGATCTCTGCTGCTCATCCCATATGTCTGTGATCGACACCACATTAAATGTGTGTGCGTTGCTACTTCTCAATCGAACAAACCTACATACAAGAGGGTTTTTTATGCATCATTGATTAAAGCACACATACCTGTTGTTGTTCAAAGTCCATCTACAAGTGAAAGGAAATGGGGTGGAGTTGAATAAAGAGGCGGGCAATAACTCATTGGGTTACTACCTTCGAGATAAGTTGAATACAGAGAGATGCAACCTTCAACTTGCACCAAGTTTCAAGTGAATCTACGAAAACTATGTTTGGGAGAAGACAATTAACTAAAACTTTAGATTTTAGTTATGGATTTGAAAGGAATGGAACGTTAACTGGTCGAGAGAGAGAGAGGTCCGCCCTCTCTTTATTTATTAATTATTAAAACATATAAATGTATATTAAATTAAAAAATGAAAGAAAAATAAAAAATAAATACATGAGGGGCATTACAGTCATTTATTTCAGTTTACCGAGGGACCAAAAACGCAACAAAACTACCTCAAAATGACTACCAATCCAAAAAAGTTGTGGTTTGGACTAAAACCCTGCATACCACATGAACCATTTTTGCAATTTTATCAATATAATATGTTAATAGAAAAACAAAAGAATTATCAAAGTTATTTGGTAACCAAATGTAAACAAGTTTAGGTTTCAAAGAGTAGTTCGTAATAAAAATATAAGATTATAAGTGAAAATAAAATGTTATAATCTGTTAGATTTTCAATAAAACAATCTCCTAAATCAAAAATATATAATACATAGTAATATTGATAACGTCTATTTTATGCATATATTTATGATGTTTTTTATTATTTTATACTATGTTTTATGTTATTTCGACTTAAAAAATACTTAATATGATTTGAAATATTAAATTATAGTTAAAATGGGAGCTGGAATGCAAAAGGATAAGACATGAGCTAAAAAGACGCAAAAATGGTGTTATTGGACAACTTGATCCCTCGTCAGTGTTTTGACAATATCTCATGACTCATAACTCTTATTGACGAGATTCAAAATGTTCTGAAAACTAGACACAATTTCGGACGACTTTTGTGTTTTGAGAAAATGGTGATTCCCAACGAACACACCGAGTTTATCACAAACTCGTCGAGTTGAATAGAAGCTTCGTGATTCTTGATTCCGACTTGGGGAATACGAGATTTTAATAAAGAACTCACCGAGTTGGTGTCCAAAGCCGTCGAGTTGATTCTGAAAACTATAAATAGAACTGAAAATTAGCCCTAATGAGAGATCTAACAACCTAGATTGATTCCTACGATTATAAACCCCCAAGAAGCCGTTTTGAGGGACTAGAAGGCGGTCGGAAGGCCGTTAAGTTGACAGGAGCGAAGATCTGAAGGATTGGAGAACAGATTCATGTCAGTCATCATGTGGTTCATTGTTCTGAGCAAGATTAATGTTTAAACATGATTCTGTATGCAATTACTTTTTGATTTGGGTGTTAAAACCTTTTGCTTTATGTTTATGATTAGATGAACCCTTGATTTTGTGGATTAATTGCTCTTTGGATTGTTTTATTCATGTTTAATTTATCTTGTTAAGCTTGTTAAAAGATCCTTATGTGTTAATGACAATTATTTTCTGTTAATTACAAAGTATATTGAGTTGTATGAACATTTTCTTAACTGCTTGGCTCTTATGATTTTGATGACCATCAAGATTGTAAGCCTAATGTTGTGAACATAACCTAAGGTTAATTAGAAAATAAGTAAATCAATGTGTGATGACCAACCACATATGAGTTAATTGAATCAACCAATTTGATTAACTTTTATTAAAAGTCTTGCTTGATACGAACCGAACACTAGGAAACCTGTTAGTTTAATCAACCGATCACTGCTTGAATTGATTTGTTGGCTAAAGGATTAGTAACAGTGAACATGAACCTAATCATTTTAGAAATCGGTGAATATGAATAAATAAATCTGTGTGTGCAATTATCTATGATTTTAAGATGTAATTTGTATAAACCAAAGCACCTAAAGAGATTTGTCTTCGATCAGTTTATCAAGATTTATTGTTTAATCAATTGTTTGAGATGTAATTCCATAAAACCTTTATTCACTGCTTTTGTGTGTTTTCTGTAACCTATAATCAAACATTCTAAATTAATTCACTACCGTTCCCCTTGTGTTCGACACCCTTGCTTATCAAAGCTATACTATACTTGATCGGGTTCACTGCGTGTAAGGTGTGGTTTAGATGCGATAAACTAGGAATTATAAATAAAAAACTAGTGCATTAAATATTTACATCAAATATAAACTAGTACCAAAATCAAACATGTTTAGTTATTCGTACAATGATTTATTAGGTTAAAATATAATTACAATGCCGTAATTAGTAAAAATTGAAAGTATAATGCCAAAATTGATAGTCAAAATTAAAGGTGATCTTTTTAAACTGCAATAATAAGAAAAAAAATAGCAAAAGTACGTCAAAAGTTGGATTTTGAAAAAATAATATTCGAATAGAAAAAATAATGCTTTATGTTGTTAGATTTTTAAAGTATAGATATATTAATGAGAAAAAAAATAAAGTATAATGCTATAGCAGCTAACAAAAACAAAACCGTCATAGACTTTTAAAGTAGTCGTGTTATAAGTTAAATTAACAATGTATAAATTCTTAATAATAGAAAAAGTTTAGAAATACAATGAATTCATAATATCAATTTATACACCGTTTAACTCCGCGGACGTAACTTGGCATATATGTCCGCGTAACTGACTTGTTCGCATAATTGAATTGGCAGTCCTCGGAAGTAACTAAATTGGCAGTCCGCGGAATTGACTTGTCAGTCCACGTAACCTATCAGTCTGCATGTCAGTCTGCATAACTGATGTCAGTCTGCATAACTGACTTGGCAGTCCGCGTAACCTATCTTTTTATATAATAAAGCTTGTATCTATATGAAATTCACATCTTTTATTCACAAAAAAGGATCATTTCACGAAATGACGTCCAATGTACCAACTTCTTCGAATGCAACAAATCCATCAAATGCAGTAGCTCCATCAAATAGTACACATCCATGGACGACAGCATAAGTGTTGGTCCTAACATAATGCTGGATTACCGTTTACGAAGGTCTACCAACAATGACTGCCCCTCATTGCATTGTTGGTGATGAATGATCCCACCTAATAGCTTTGTTCAACCATGAGGTGAGAGAAGGACAAGAACGAATAAAACCCGATATTGTTAGTAAATGGATAAATTTAAAGAAAAAATTCACATGGTTCAATCAATGCTACAATTATGAGAGAATGTGACGCTCTCATGCAGACGATGAAGAACTTTTTGAAGAAGTAAACATATATTACATTTTCGAGTTTGATGGAAATGAGTTCGAGTGTAAGGATGTTTGGAATCTCGTTAAAAATAAACATTTTTTCATGTAGACGACTATTTTATTTGTATTGTTTTATGTAATGTTTGTCAGTCCTATATCTTATTTGTAATGTTTATTTTTCTGTTTTTTTGTAATGTTTTTATGTTATTTGTAATGTTTTTTTTATTTGAATGTATCGTAATATTTGATTGTGCATTATATTTCAAAAAATAAAAGATAAATAACATAATACAAATGCATAAAAAAAAATCAACCATAGTACATATAAATAAAGCAATACAAATGCAGGACAACTTAAAAATATGGGAGATCTTTCAAAAGATTCCAAAGGGCTTCATAGTCGAAAATCTCTCCGTTGCTAATGGATTTGTATTATTATTTAGCCGTCTCCAAGATGTCTTCCTCAGTATCATTCACACGTGCGTCTTTAATGTTCTTATAAAGATCGTTGAATAACACAACTTCTGTTTTTAATTCATACCATTTTGATGCTATATCAAGGGTGTTGCGATGGTTTTCTATGGTGGTTTGAGTGTCAGTATTGAAATTATTTGTTAAACGGGGCCAAAACATTATATCATTCAAATTGTTGTTCTCGTAGGTATTAATATATACACGAGTTTGAAGTAAATACTCCTCAGCGGTCCATGGTTTTTAACCCATTGTAAGAGATACAATGTAGATAAAGTGATATAGATTAGATTAAGTGATACATATTTTTGAGTCATTTTATAGTGAAATGTAATTTACGACTTCTCAGTCCGCATAACTGACTTGACAGTCCGCGGAAGTTACTTGGCAGTCCGTGAAACTAATATAATAACAAAAATAAAACACATATTTATATTAAAAGAAATTACTAAAAACTTGTATTTCATATTAATATATACAAAGTTCCTAAAATCAAGTTATATAGTGTCCCAAATAATATTCATCGTCATATTTTTATATATAAATCCCGCATCTCTGCGTGGCTTATCAATCTTCACCAATACCCTCGAAACAATCATTTCCATAAAAATGCATACGAATACTCCACAATCGTCTCTATCTTCGTTGTATTCCTGTTGTGGCGCGTCTATAGCTTCAACAAACTCCACAATTGCAGTGTCTCTGTGTCCATCGGAGAAATCGTTCCGGTACTTGATCACATCTAGCTTTGAGATAATACTATCCCCAAAACTTTGGAATTCTCCACCAATCTTGTATTTTGTGAAGAAATTCATAGATCGTGTTGAATCATAAATGTTTACTTTCCATATTTTTAAATGTAGCATAGCCAAAAACCAATGGACACCAACAACATTTATGACGAATAGAACCTGGAAAAAATAATTAATTAAATAGTAGTAGATTCGGTAATGTTATATATATATATATATATATATATATATATATATATATATATATATATATATATATATATATATATATATATATTAAACTAAACTAACCTTATCCACATCCTTCCATATAGGATAGCCTCCAACACCATTTTCTACATTCCTTAAAAAATGATTCTCCAGCTTGCAAATTGAGTTCTTGAGGGTATATTATCCATTTTGCGTTCGTCGGTCATCTTTCCATGAGCAAGCCACTACATATTGCAATATGTTGTATATTTTAATAGAACAATGTTACAATTATTTATATAAATTATCGTCTAAAATAGTAGTTAAAATTTAACGAATGTTACCGAAGAAATTAACCACCCAAAGTCAGTAACTGAAAGTAACATTGACCAAAACTCCACATCCAGTGGGAGTATATGTAGCATGTGTTTAGTGTTGAGTTTGAAAGAGATCATATTCCATTCTTTCCAAAAACCCAACATACTAGCAACATAAAGATTGTCTAATAGTAGATGATTTGAAACATCACTAATGTCTTCATTTGCTTTTTCGGGACACTCCGTTGCTTTTTTTTCCTTGTTTTGGTGATTTTCTTCAATTTTGATGTGGAGTCCATCTAAAAAATTAAAATGTTAATTAATTATCAACAACGTAATATTTTAAAAATACACCATATTTAAAATAGATTAATACCATTGTGAATGACATCTGATGATACCATGAAGCACTCATCGTTCGTTGCGGCCTAACAATATGAGTGACTGTTTTTCTGTGATGTTGAACCACGTCCGGTGACGACCCAACATATTTCCCTGTAGGTGTAGGCATAACTTCCCCTCCAAACCATGCATAAATGTATCATCATAATGCAAATATGTACCATGGTAATATGTTTCTTCCTCCTCTTCATTTACCATGTCCTCTTCCTCACTAAACTCTGTATCTAGTTTATATTTTTTCTGCAATACACAGTCTACTTTAGACGTTAAGTCAACTACAACGCCTATTAGACGCTTCACCAATGCCTTTGTGCTCGTCTTCTAGTTCTTTACTGACCTTGTTGATGTGTCACTTGACATATAACTTCTTTCTACTTGAGGCTGTTGCAAGGTAGAAGCATGTGTGGCCGTTTCACTCGAAGATGTTTTCGACTTGCACTTCTTTCTTCGAGGAGCTGAGGCAACAATAGGTAGTGGAATTTGCTGTCGTGGGGGAGATTCTTCATGGTTAAGAGTCCAATTCACATAACAAATATAAAACAACTCCATGATCTTCGTCTCGTTTGCCACGACAACAACATGATGGTTCTTAGGATGCAAAAAACAGATTGTTAGTTTAGCATGAGAAAACATTGGAATTTGTAATTATATATAATTATAATATAAAAAAGCATACCACAAACACTTTGATTATTCGACAACATTGAACCCAAAATAATGATGTTTTTCTCTCCACGACCTCATTCGTGGCAATTTTGTCGGCATGTGAACATAATATTGTGTTGCCTCTAGGAATGTCTCCAAAATCCATATCTATGAAAAAAAGGTAAGTATGATGCTATTATATTATGAAAATGAAAGTACAACGATATTATATAGTACAAACAGAAGTACAATGCTATTATGGTATAAAAAACAAAATAAAAAACGAAAATATGATAACTATTTAAATAAATTAGAAACTAACCTTAAACGGAAGCATAAAACCGGCAACGGTATACTTGTGTACTTTCTTCGATTCAGGATTAGCCTGCTTGAATATTCTAAAATTTTCTATTTTCTCAAACATTTCACGCATCAACCCCGAAGTATAGGTCCATAAATATGTATCCCATGCAAACCTGTAATTTTCAATTTATTTATTATAATTATTATTGTACTTATACATAATTTTTAAATGTAATACGTGTTCCAATCATATATGTTATCAGAAAGCTTGTATACTGGTGCGAGAATGTTTGTTAACGTCTCGTCCGTGGAGACCTTTCAACATAAAAACAAGTTGGATGAGAATTACCGCATCTTCATCCTGAAGTGCCAAATAATTCGGAGAAATAATGTAGTCTTTAAGTCTTTGAGCCACAAACGTGCATCTGTAATGTCAGGGAACAACCAAACCTGAAGATTTGAATTTGACCGACCTCCTTCTTCATGGAGTAAATCCACACAAGGACCAACTCTTAACCCACTAATAACAATATATTCAGTTTCACCAAAATCCAACTGCATCCCCTGTATCTAAAAAAGAAACCTCCCAATTTCAAACACTTCTTGAGACCGTACTTCATGCAACATCATCAAATACACAAGTAGGGGGTCACCATTAGGGACATGCATTCCTAAGAATCTTCCAAATGGTGAAGCTTCAAATAATGCTCGTTGCGATTGTCTTAGTTGCAGAAAGTATTTAATGATTGTATTGACCACGCCTTTAAAGTTAAATCTGTTTTTTGTTGGAGATCGCCGTGCTAGAAAACATATACATTTAATTTAATATAAAACGTTACTAATTGAAAATAAAAACAAGGTTTTAAAACTACATAGTTAATTCGGTTAAGGCGATAAATAGCAATGTACTTTCAATTTACATTATAAAATTGAAAAATACCCAATTGTACCATTCACATCAATTTACATAAAAAATTAAATAGCAACGTACTTTCAAATTAATTGCTATAAAGGGTTCATTTTGAAATTAATTGATATAAAAGGGTAGAAAAAAGGGAAAAATGTAAGAGTAGATATTAGCCATTTCAATGTAAGAGTAGATCCATTCCGCGGAGAGTATACATCACTCCGCAGAATGACTTGTCCCTCCGCGAAATTGATCTTCGTTATTTCAAACTTATTTTAATCCTAAATCTAAATCTAAACATTTCGCAGGTTATGAATTGCATATTCATACCATTTTAATCTTAAATCTAAACAATACAAAAAGGGAAACATTAATCTAATGAGGGAAATGTTAAAACGGATTACCTAAGAGCCGTATCCATCGGCGAAAATGTTGGGGAAATTCTACTCCATCTGCTGTCGCCGAAATATTTCGTCCGAAGTGGGGGTTGTAGTCGATGTCGGAAGAAATCAAGGCTGATGACGGTTGTTGTCGGATGAAGGGGAGTAGCGATACGGAGACACGAAGAATAGATTGATGTCGAAGAGGAGACAGGGAGAACCAGTGGGGGACCAAAGAGGAGACCCGTTTTTACAAAGAGGGGAGAGGTGGAATTACGAAAATACCCCGATTCCACGGAGCTTTCATCGGCCCGCAGAGCCCGTTGAGGGGTCTATAGCCAAAAATTTGGATTTTTATGACTAAATTTTGAAATCCACTCCAAAAAAAATTGTCCATGGCCGTCTTTTTCCTTTTCCCTGTCTCCACGTAAAACTTACACGTACTCAATTCAATCCTTTACGTTGTCTCTTTCACTTTACCATGTCATGCTCTGCGTGTAGATATATCCATCGATTCCCCGTTTCCCCCTATCACCTTCCAACGACACGTTCACATCTTTTCTTCGTTGACATCACCACCAAATTGGGTTTCCAAGATTCCCACTAAAATTAGTTTTCCATCGAATTTCTCATGAATATCGATTTGGTGATCGGCGATTACGCCAAAGGTCTATTAAAAAAAACGATGTTTGTTTAACCATGATATTTTACTTTTCTAAACCAGGGTTTTAAAGATTCCCTTTGATTGTGTAATTGGTTTGATAATTATTGGTCAAATGTGAGTGGTTGATTTGTTGTTCAGAAGCGACACCTTTTTAATGAGAAAATTATAAGCCCTTTTCCGAATTTTGTACTGTATGTTGATTTTGTGGGATGTCTTGCTAAGCGTAAATACAAAAGAAACTAAGAAAACAGAGAGGTGCAGAAGAACAAGCAACCGAAACAACCGATTCTATTCTAGACAAAAAGATGCATGCATATGATAGACGATTTGTAGTAAAAATGAAATTGATTGTTGATGAAAAAACTGATTAATTTCTGACAATACGATCTTGGCAGAAGCTGGATATAAAAAAAAAGCATCCATCGATGATAGATTACTGCCTTTCTCTACTGCAGACAGATACAAAAGACGTCCTTTTCATCGTGATTTCTACATTTTTTTCCACTAAATTCTTTTTGTAAAATAATAGTTCTTTTATTTTTTCATATATTAATTTTAAACTCAAATGTGTATATCAGACGACAAGACTCTTCGATTGGTTTTGGAGTATATGTTCATGCTAATACGAGAAGCGCTAAACTGACTGATGCTAAGGTGTTGTTTGTTTTTTGGAAAAAACCTCTTTAAACCTCTTACTGCTGCGCGGCGCAGCACACGCGCAACACTTTTCATCTCGCAGTTGTTTGTTTTTTAGAAGTCTTTTGAGTCAAAAACCTCTGCGCAGGCTCTGTTTGGCGCAGCACTTGTACTGCCTCTTCTAACCGCTTCCAACCTCTTATTCTTCTTTTTTTTATTGCTGAAATTTTGATTATATGTTATTAAAATTTTATTTCACATTTTTTTTTCCGTTTTTTTTCGTTTATTCTTATTGAATTTATTTTTCATTTTTTTATATTCAATAATGATAATTTCTTGATGAAATATCATTATTTTTTACTAAAATATTTTTATTTTTTTGTTGAAATATCATTTTTTTTTACTGAAATATCATTAATTTTTACCAAAATGTTATACATTATTAAATTTTACGTATTAAAAAACTATTTTTGATTTATAAAATTAGTTTATTTTAATTTTTTAATATCTGCAGCAGTATGTAGATGTTAAAAAAACAAACATGCTTCTTATTATAGTCTGCAGCCGTTTGGTCCACCTCTTCTACTGCAGAGGGTTGCAGAGGTGGTCCGCAGACTTCATGAATTTTTGCTTCAGAAAATCAAACAACCTTAATTGAATCTATCCTTAGGGTACCCTTGATTAAAATACCCTTTGAAAGTCATATATTTCAAATAATCATCACCACTTTGTCATATGATACATTGCCTTACTTTTACCAACTTAGTCAAGACTTTGCACTAGGTTAATGTGCTGTTCAAACTTTGCCAACCTAACAGGCTAATATAGTGCAATTTCTTGTAGCTGTCACAAAAATAAACCCTTATTTCTAATCACTATGTTTTAGTTAGTTTAAGTTTTGCAATTCTATTTAGGCAACATAAAAAAATTGAAAAAAAAAACTTTTTATCCGCAATAGTAAGATACTTGATATCTATTACATGTAATGATAGTAAGACACGTAGCTAGTAAGATAGAAGATAGGTCCTCAGATCTATCTTTTTTATTTTTCAATAGAGGAATGTATTAATTAAAAAAAAAAAAAAACTACTAATACATTATCAAAGGACCTATCTAAGAATAGCCCAATATCTTAATCCACTCTCATTAATCCATAACCCAATCCACTCTTATTAATCATCTGTCCAATCCATTTAATATTGAAAAAAAGAAAGAAAGAAAATAGAAACATCGTAGCGCCCAACACCGATTGATAACAAAATATTGATAAAAGTTATTAGTTTCATGCTTGGTAACATTCAATTTCAAAATAAAAAATATCATAATTTTCAGTGATAGTTCAGTGCCATATACTTTAACGATAGTTTAGTGTCGTATATTGAAAAAAAAATGAAATTTGAATCTAATTTACTGTCGTATATTGAAAAAATATCTTACAAATTATCAATAACACCATAATTATGAATATGTTTCAAGATATAAAACCTTCAACTGTAAGAATTTTATTATAACTATTGAAGTGATGTTGAAATATTTTTAGGCATACAATCCGATCCGTCATCACCAGTATTTTTTTTTTCTCTTTCATATTTTTTTTTGTTTTATTTACATAAGGAACCATGTGATTTTTTGTTCTAGATTCGCCATTGATGATAGTGTAACTACGTCTCTCTAACACTAATACAAATATATAATCTGAAATTTGTAAAATGTTTACAAGTTCTATTTTACATATTCCTATTATCGGTAAAAAAAAGTGTTAGTACATTGCTATCACATGTATGTATTTGTAAGTTTGTTGCTATTATGTGTACAAAAATATATGTTTGGTAACAATCCAAATACCAAAATAAGTCCAGGTTGTGATAATAATACTTACTTTTTGCATTTTTTTTTTTTTCTCTTAGCTATCTAATGTGTGAAATTTCAATAGACAAACTATAGATTATTTACACAAAAAATTTGGACAATAACTTTGAAAAATTAAATTATATAGAAAGTTCACTAAATATTTTTATGTTAGGTAACTAAAAAAAAGCGATAAACAACTACTTGAATTTCCTTATCTTCAGTAGCTTAATTTTAAACTATCAAAGTCTACACATTTATTTACATGGACCGTGTTAAACACGATCTTTGGAAACACCTAAAAGTTTAGTGACATATAGCTCCATATTGTTATAATGTATTTCAATTTCCAAAGTGGCTATGACTTTCCATTTTTTTTTCATATCGTTATAATAATACTAATATATTTAAAAAAAAGTACTTTTGGATATACTTTTTTAGTTTTTGTGATGAAAGCCTAGTTGTTGGATGAGTGGTCTCTACATTTCAAACTTTGATATATAAGATATTTACAATTCAAACTTTGACACATCTAAAATATTAATAAAGTTGGATGAATAGCCTCTCACATTGACGATATGATAGGTTGATGTAGACCAATCACATGATATGTTTATTATATTGTTATAAGAACAGAATCACATGAATAAAATTAATTTTTTAATATAGAGGAAAAACGAACAAAAATGTAATTGATGGTTTTGTCAAATCAATACATGTTAGTTGTATAAAATACAAAACAAAAAAATTAATACATTTATGTATGAATTTTGACACGTAACTCATTACTATAATTACATCTTAGATGTGATATTAAATTTGTGACACCTTAACTCCTTATTTATACATGCTATATTTTTATCACTTACTTCAAGTCATTCGAGTCATCCATAGACGAATAAGAAATTCCTATATGAAGTTTGTTAAGACTTTTGTTGTTTTAGTTTTTTATTTATTAATTTGTACAACTTCCATGGTTTATGGTAGAAAGATCGTTGGAGGGGAGAAGACATTTTGCAGAAATGTAAATTTACGTGCTGCACTTAAAAATGCAAGAACAAATTACATTGCAGCTAAACTTGGTGTCAAACTTGCTGCTATGATAATCAAGAATTTGGGTGGAAAA